CTAATGTCGAAATCATGTCGGTAAATAGAATAGTATGGGCAATTAAACAAGCGTGTCTTTATTTTAATAGCCTAATGAATGTCAAAATGATAATAGAAATGACAGATATCAATGAGAATAACGCATATTAGTGAACGAGTGGTAAAGATCAAAAGGTATTTCATCGAAATATAAATTCAAAAATTTAAGTTAACTTAAAGTGATACTACGTCTTAGAATGAACATAAAATTTAATTCTCAAGAATGGTCAATATGAGTATATATTCATCAGTGAACTTACCTGGTGTCATAAAGTTACAACAAAATCCCTGTAAAATCTAGAAAATTGGAAAATTCATAAAACAAAGTCATTATTGAAAAACGCTTATTTATAATATTAAGCGTTTTTCAATAGTTAATTGCATTTTTATTAAGTTTTTTTGATTTATCGGATTATATAAGGGTCCTGTTATGTTATTTATGACACCAGGTATATCTACTGATGAATATATGCTCTTTTTGGCCAAGTTTAACATTTTTAAATTTCATGTTTATTCTAAAACGTAGTATCCCTTTAATAAAAAAAAAACAATTTCTTTGAAACGAGGACTACATTAATGAAGCATTAAAAAAGGTTCAAGGCCACAAGCAAGTTTTGATGTATTTTAGTTAAGTCCCCGCAAAATCAACCAAAAACCTTCATCGAAGAAAAAACTAATCAATATAATGTACATGTCATCAAAACTAGATTCTCTTTGGGGGTCACACGGACATTTGAGAGTACAGGGGGAACACAAGTCCACATGCCAAAATAACTTACATCTTGCAATTTATTATAGCCTATACACAAGGGCGTATCTAGAAAATACGTGAAAAAGGGGGAAGGCAAAAATGGGAGGTGTCTCTCCAGGGCGAGAGAAAAACAATAGAGAATTTTGACAAAAGTAGATTCGATCCTCAAATTTCTACTTTTACAAATAAGAAGGGTCGAAACCCCTCGAGGCCGAGTGTCTTGGGCTGCAAGTGGCCGCAGGAAGCCAACGGAGCAGTGTTTTTCAACCTTTTTCACCCTGATTACCGCACCACTGCACTACCAGGAGCCACTGACCACTTTCAATAATCAAGTAAATAATTCTATTCACATTTATTGAATATCACTTTTTATTACAAATCAATATTGGTATCTTCAGATTTTGATAATGAGGTATGGTTCTTAGTGTGTGCCTTGAGCTTGGTGTTCACGATTCAAAAATTGAATGTGCGGTATCAGTATGGACAAAATCTCAGTAACCGCGCTAAACTTGCATTCTACTAGATGGGATGAAGGGAATGGCAATAATAGTTTTTGAGCACAGAAAGTGAGTCTAGGGTATTTTTGGATGAAGCCACATTTGTTAACCTCTCACACAGTTGATTGCAGAAACCGACACTCCCTCTCATACTACAGAGAGACCAATAATCAATAATTCGGGTTTCTCACTTCTCCACATGATGTGCTAATATTTCCTATAACACTCGAGAAATCAGAATCAATAGTTGATGGTGAACGCAACGAGCGAATCATATTAATTCACGACTTTTCTGACCAATCACCCCTGTTTTTTTTATTCATCCCCAATTCAAAATAATGACATATTGATTCAAACTTAACTAATAAAGCGGAAGTTTTAATCAAAATTTTCTACAAATAACAACGCAAATGAAAAATTCATATCGGAAGTCCTCTAAATGTGCGGACATACGAGCAGTCTTGGTCGGTCATTTTTGTCGCAGACTAGAGTCTTGTCATGTGTTTCGCGGACTTGGCACGGGCACAAAAACCTTTACTGATTCCGTTGATCTTGATCAATCTACAGGAACGGATTTAGATTTACAGGATGAGTTTCTTAACAAAGGTCAACCGTCTATATAGTCAACGAAGGGGTTTCTATTGTAGATCGATTAATAATCGATTATTATAATATAATTAAATGCTTAGCGAAAAAACATTCTTTAATATAAACAAATAAAAAAGATTAGGGTTTTTTCTCTTGTATCTAAAGCTGTATCTTGTATCTCGTTGGTGGCATAAAAGGAGGGTCAGAATTATCCTCCCTCAACAAGAAATCTTTAAAAATCAGATTGAGTCCATTTCGGACAGCGTTCTCGTTGACGTGTAAGATATTCAGATCATATAATATTGTTGGAGCTCTTTTAGCTATCTCGTTATCATTCCGAAGATAATCTTCATCCTATGACCCTGAGGAATACTAGCATGCCTACCACCCAAAGGATACCACCGGCGAAAGTAAACCAAAAAGTCCCGTTTGCGCATTTTAAATGGTCACGTCACGGCAGTTATTCATGTTAATTACCAATTAATCAATACAACACTGTACACCTGCTGATTCCGAGAAATTTCGAATATTTTCATACATTAAAAACAAACAATCTGGTAATTTAAAATTTAATAATGAATTAAAAAGTACGAGTGTTTGCACTTTTATTAAATATCTACTAATTATGAAATTAGCATATGTGGTTTTTCATTTATTGAATAGTATCTTCGAGAAAAAATGAACTTGGTTAACTAAAAAGTAATTCAATTAAAATCGCGAAAAGCGATTCTCAAAATTCATTTTAAATTAGCAAAAACATATAATATATCTCATCACGTGAACTTTTCAAAGTCAGATGGAAAAAAAACGGGCATAAATAATTAGTTTTTTTGTTCGAAGTGAAGTTTCATTAAATGAAGGCAAATGTATTTTATTCACTGTAGAATCACCATATGTGACAGTAAAAGTATTTAGTTTTTCTCCCAAAATTCTTCTTTCAGCTTACAATCAAAGTTAGCCGTCTTTAACTTTGATGAGAGCCGATGGAGTATCAAAAGCATTAAAGATTTTAATTCATTTCATATGTTATTTATAATACCACAGCAAAATTTTCAATACTTTGGTCATGATAACGATTTCAAACAATATTGAAATAGCATGAAAACAACCTCAAAGATTACTTGAATTATGAAAAATATGCTTTGACAATTCGCGTTTTTTAATTTAGTATTCCTTTATTTTGCTCATTTTCTAAAATAAGTTTTGAACACTGGATCAGTGAATTTGTTTATTGTTAACTTGAGACAACTCATAATTGTTGAGACACAGCTCTTCCCAGACACAGGAATACAGTACCCAAACTGAATTCCCAATGTTACTTAATACACTATCACCTTTGGTTCCATAGAAATATACAAAACGTGGCACTTACTACCTTTTTCTTACATTTAAATAGTTTTCAGGTTTTCAAGAACTCAGGACATCTGCTGCCGAATGAATCTTTCCACTTTTATTTGCAACCTGGTTACGGCCTTTGAATCCTGCTCATGATGCTGATATCACGAACTAGGTAGTTGTTGGTAGTCGTAATAGTTGGTAATAGGATTGGTTCAATTTGGATGATTCTGTGTTGTTGATTTGATAGTTGATTCTATATGGTCGAGTCGAATGGCATAGCGGTCCTGGATCTTCTTCCTTCCCCCACCCATGCTGGGGTAAATAATATCTTCCTATTCAGTTGTAAAAATATACAACTGACAAAGGACTGAACACTTTTCATTCATTGATCATGGTTTAAAACTTTTGTCAAGGGTCAAATTGGTAATCAAGGTCAATTAACAATCAAGACCATTTTCCATTGTTTATAATCACTATTGGACTGACTAAAATGACTGAGAGAAAAACACTTTAGAAGATCTTGACAATTTAAAAAATAATTTATTTAGCTTCAAGACCAATTAGTTTTTAAGCCTCTGGAAAATACCAGATAAATAATTTGAATTACTGTGAAAACTTAAGCTCGGAAAATATGGCACTTTCAGTTTTATTAATCCACATACCGATACTACTAATATCAATTGAAACAATAAATGATAAACTATTAATAATGTAATAGTATTAATTAATGAATTCATGGTTCACAAGCCAATTTCTCTTTGTGTGGCAGATATATACAAATTGAGGTAATTTAAAGAACGAATAATAATATTCCCATTATCATATATTTATGAGGGTTGGCTGAACAGTGTAAGTGAGATACATTTTGCTCACCATCAAGTACAATCATCTAAATGAATCGTAGACTGCCAAAAAATCATCCGAGTACGGTTCACTTCAAGCGAGCCAAATTTCAAAACAGTGTAAACGCGGCTTTAAGAACTGCAATAGTATTACAACTAACGAACCTACCAATGGAAATGTATTGATATCGTTAATCAAGCACTTGCAGCTACAAGGTAAACTCCGACACAGTTACATGCTGAAATGATCTGTATTTGAAGGATGGAGCCTCTTCGTTTTCCACTGTAAAGAAGTGAGTTTTGTGGAATCCATGCATGATAGAGAGAGCCTTGACGATAAACCGCACCCAGCAAGGCTTTAAGCAGAAACAGTTCCAGAAGACATCACTCAGGTGAATGACATGGTGATAGCTAATCGACAATTGACCACGCAACATATTGTCAGTGTTGTGGGCATATCTCATGAGAACATTGGGTACATTATCAACAAAGTGGAATTGACAAACGTTTCTGTAAGATTGGTGCAAAAGTCAGATCCCCCGACCGTGACGATTTGTAAAGTTTTTGAAGCAGATCTCACGATTTCCAAAAAGAATCCAATGGTGGTAATGATTGCGTAATTTTGGCTGTGAACTGACATTTTTTAGGGTGACTGTAGAAATATTTTTCTTGACCAGCAACCAGGCCTTTCAGTTTATAATCCTGGAATTGGACTATGCATAGACCTAGATGAAAAACATCGACTTGGTAAAGGCCTTTCACAGTAAGGCTTAGAGCTTTTCAGTCATCCCTTTATAGCACCTAACCTAGACATTCTTGTCTTTTATACAGTGACGTTAGGAGCGTTGTAAGAAACAATGGAAATAACTCCTTTGATAAATTAACAAAATATTATTGTATTCAAATAGGGTTTAACCTCCTATCATAATAATATTTTGAAGATGGTAAATAAAGAGCAATAAGTAACATTAAATTATAATCTTTTTTAATTCCAATCAGTTCATCCATAATAAAACATAATAAACCATTTCCATAGGGATTTAAGAAAATTGACAAGAACTGTAGGCCTACACCTTTTTGCATAACAACTCAAATAACTCATGTTAAATATACCTCAGTAATATCATTGAAATTCAGTTGAGTTTATACCTTAATGATAGTGAAATCAACGCCAATAACTAACTTAAATATTTTTGTTTCTTTCTTGGGTGATATTAAATATTTCACCAAGTTTCATAAAAAGTGACACAGAATGCGTCCTTCTTGATTGATTGTGCCTAAAAGAGTGTTTACAAGCAAATGTTAACAATGGAGACTGGATTGTTGACAAGAAGGTGCTACATTTCTTAGTGGGTGTATAAATTGGGTGTTGCAAATGACAAATTGCCCAGTTATATTGTTGTAATATAAAATAATCCCATTATAGTGATAAAATCAAGAGCACAAATTTACACACAAAAAAATAAGATATAAAAAAAAATATCTATCAAATGTGTTTAAAAGACCACAAACACTTGAAAAATTCTTGATTATCCAATTATCACCGCATTAATATCCCAAATGTCATAGCTCAATTAACATCACAATTATCACAATTATGTTAACATCACAATATTATAATGCTAATCCTTTCTTCAATATAAGATTACCATAAATTGCAGTTTCACTAAAAAACAGATCAAATAGATAATAAATTGTAAATCAAGAGAGTAGAAGTAGCTGAATTTACCTCACAGCAGTGGTAAGCATAACACATCATCATTAGCCATCATGTCTTGACAACAAAAACTCTAATTTTGGTATCAAACCATAATAAAACACTTAGCGCTCTATTGGAGTGTTCTGAACAGTTTTTGTCTGTTCCAATTCTTTCCTAATCTAACTTATGAAAGTGGCTATGTCATATAAATTTTCTCTTCAGTTGACTGTTAAGATCATTTAGGAAGTCAAAATACAGTGAGTTATGTCCCTTCCACTGTTACAAGCAAATTTCACAAGGGACATTGAATTAAAGCCTTTGAATGGCATTTAGCAATTGTGAGTACGATATATAGACACAGCTTTATGGAACAACAATCACTGGTTATTGGACATTGAATTGAGGCTATTTATAGAATCAAGTGTCTTCTATTTTCAAGATAGCACTGAAACCAACTCTCAGAAGATCAATAGCATTGGAAGATGTGATTATTATTTCTGAAACACCAAGCTTCATGTAGGAAGCTCTTTTATGAAATCTTTAATACATTTTCTTTCATTAAGTATAGTATAAAATTGAGTTATCGAATGTACAGAGAGGAGGCTTATATCTATATACCAGTATCTTTTTTGGTTTACTGTGTAGTTTACGTATAAAAGCCACATGGTAAATTTGACTGTCTGCCAATAAAACCACAGAAGACTTACCCAGTATGTACAACAGCAAATGCTTTTTTAGCTCTCTCATAAAATTCAAACCTTTCTATTTTTTCAAAGGATATCTGTCAATAAATGTATAGAAATAAATTCAAATAAGGTAAAACAAACATATACACACAAAATGCAATCTTCTAATGTCAGTGCAATGTCACTAAACTCTCATGTAAATAGATAAAAAAAACTTCAGCGAAATATATTCATTCATACTATCACTGACATTAGAAAAAGTGAATTAACCCACCTCCTTTCCCTCTGCTTTGTTTATTATTTCTTGGTATTTATCCCATACTGGAACTTTAATACCCTTTTCTTTATCTGATGGTACTGGATCCATAACCCCTGCCTACAAAATTAATAATACATATAATAATCATTTGTAGTCTTCTTGAATGTTGACCATCCAAATCATAATGTCATCAAAATTTTAATGATGTGTATTGTGTATTGCAAATATCTGAATAGCAAGATAATAACAGACCTATGTCTCAAACATCAATTCAATTAATTCAATTAAACAGTTATATAACCAGATCATAACATCATAACCTATAATATATATTTCTATGAAGATTTTGACTAAATTTTGACTCAAATATTAATCTTAATATACACACTAAAATGTCTTAAATGATGATCAGCATAGAAAGTCGAAATTTGAAAGTAACAATTCAGGCTCTGTGGCCCAGTACTAATGAAATGAATGGAGTTTTACTTCCTACCTATTGCATTATGTGGGCTAATGAAGGCGGGCAACAAGATGCATAGTGCAATGAGAGAAATTTTGTCAGGACATTTGCATGCTGTTTTGCGATTTCCAACTGTCGAGGGATCTTTAACGTGCACAGCCTGTAGCACACAGGGCCTCGGTTTATTGTCCCTTCCGAATAATTACACACTTTTTCCATTTCAGTCACTTTTACCTGCATCACAGACAAGGGGAAACCGGGATTAAAAATCCAAAGGTATTATCCCGATCTATGCAGGGATTGAACCCTGGACCTTCAGGTTAGCCAGCAAACCTGGCTATGTACTTACAGGTTGAGCAACATATGGATCCAAGGGGAATAATTCTAACACACCTTCTAACAATGGAGGAATCGACAAGCCTGTCAAGAATAAAGAACAAATTTGCTGAAACATTTGCAATACCTATTAGAAAGCGGGGGTTGATTTAAGCGTTGAATATATGTAAATAGTCTTCAGAAGTAGTAGAAAATAGCATAATTCCTTTAAATATACTTCAAACTAGGAATTTTACTCACTATTTCTACATGTCTTTCTAAAGCGTCGTTGTTTTAAATGCAGAATATTTTGGACAAACATAAGATTTAAAGGCTCCAATTTCGACAGTGAGCTGTGAATACTATTACCGGTAATTACTGTGGCTTTGCTAAAAAAAATTCCTGTTTCTGAGACTAAGGTATGATTGATCAAAAAAATGGTGCACCTGTCCCTTTAATGGGAGAAAACCTTATTTTTGATGTTATCAAATGGTTAATTTATATTAAGTTAACATTCATATGTTAATCTATGATATTTTGAGAAACAGGGAGCTGGAGTACAATTTAAGTTATTCTCCATATCCAACATATACCTTTAATAGTACATAGATATAATTCGTTTAGGTGCCTGTAGTCAAAAATTTGTTTATCAAGTTTTCAGATTTTGGATTTCGGGTTTGAACTTACCATCACATCTGACCAATATAGCACCTTGAGCTTTAGCCACTGAATTGGATGGAAAATGAGCATCAGCAAAAACTGTAAAAAAGGTAGAAAATAAATGGTTGAATGAATATTAAATTTGAAGGAGTATGAACTGAATAAACGATAAGCAAGTCTTTGTTGAACCGAAATATTTTTGTGCAACTTTTATACTTAAAGCTTTTATTTATGATCAATTGATTTTACTCCCCAAAAATTTTCCATTAAAGCTCATTAAATAACTAAATAACTAAGAGGTAAGTGTTAAAATATGCTTATGTTGCATGAGAATGGAAGGAAATCAAAAATATCAGATGCATGAGATGCATTAAGCCCAGCAAAACCTTCTTCAGTTCAGCACAGATAGATTCATTTACAGTGATTTTGTACAAATCAAAAAGATATAGATTTTTATGTTTTGAAACCTAAAAATTGTCAGAAATGGGTTCTGTGGGACTATAATTCTACAAAATCTGAGACAAGAAAGATTTCACCAGGTTATGGCGTCACTATCACAAAAGCTAGTGGTTTTAAGACACCTTGCATTAGTGATGTCATAATCTGGGCAAGTAATTGGAAACACAGATCTCCAACCAGATCAGAATGGTATAACTTTAGCTGATAGTGTGCCACATCCACTGTACTAAGGCTTGAGAAACTTTCAGTATTTTAGCAATATTCAAACTGGTGCAAATCGGTTAGGGTCAAGAAATTTAAATCTCAGGGAAAATCAGTTTGATATCAGTTTATTGAAAATCTTATTCCTTGGAAATGCATTCCTTGGTAATTGAGATCGACATGAATATTCATTGAGGTTAGTTTGCTAAACCTACCTTTGATTCACTTTAAAGGTTAAAATGAATTTTTCGGGTTGATACACGCAAATAGCAAATGTATGTTTTTGTTAACTTTTTGACTATTATTCTGATCTTGTTTGATATTTCATTCTTTGGCATGAGCAAAAGCAAATAACATCAAATAAGCCAGATTCTGTACCTTTCAATAGCTTTGAGGCAATTTAAGAAAAACAATACTTTTCAGATAATCTCAGAGTTCCAGTCATCTGACAGGAACTTTAATTGATAAAATTACTTTATTCCTTAAAATTTTGATTTTGTGACAGTTGAATTTTAAAATTGACCCCAGATATTTCATATTTCAATTTTTTAACGGTCACTGACAAAAAATTGGTTCAGTCCATTCTATGAGAATTCAGAGTTGGTTTTGTTTGTAAAGGGTTTGCGGTTCTCAGGAAACAGATTATATCACAAATCAGTGATGAAAAATCATCATTCTATGGATTAACTGTCATTGAATAAGGTATGTAAATTTAATATACAGATTAGATTGTAAGGATTTACTTGTCTCTATATTTGCTTTTCCAGCTGAAAAAGTTTTTGCGACAAGAATCAGACGTCTGTAAATTAAAGTACAACTTTCCTATATGGATTAGTTATTCAAATTTTCACTAATGGATAGAGAATGACATAGTGGCTTAGTGTTTGAAACATTGAAAAATACAGAAATCACATGAAGTACAAGGGTTAAAAATATACTTGTTCAAAAATATTTTGGTGAAATGATTTCATTTCATATATTTCTTGTCCAGTTCACCATTTTCATCAGTGTTTCTTTATTATACTTTTTGTCAGAATATTTCCAAATTTGTTTAAAATATGCATTATTGCATTAGAAAAGATCATTTGTACTTTGGAAATTACAGAAAAACTGATCTATTCTAAGCCTTAATTTTGATATAACGTGCAAAATTAAAATACTTGCAAATTTGCAGATTGATCATTTTAAGTCAATATTTTCAAATACATTTCACTTGGTATATTAAGCTTACCATATCATTTCCAAGGAATCATTGTTTTCAGGAAATAAAATAGAATGAAAGAGATTTCAAGGGCCAGTAGATAAATCTCATTGGATGAAATTTAGGTTATACAATATAAATTTTAAAATAAAATCTTTTGTTTAAAACTGTTAATCATAGATATCTTTTACTTATTAGCTTGTTTATAGTTATATTCAAAATGTTGGTATTCATCATGTTACAATTCTTTATTCCATTTCCAAGGAAACTAAGTTTTTGAGAAATACTGTAAAAGATGTATAATTTTGGGATTTGATTTGATGATATGTAAATTGTCATCAGAAGTATTAGAAATAATTCATAATTCCTTCAAGAATATCTCAAACTAGGAATTTCTTTTCCTATTTCATTGATGTCTTTTCTATATCTGGCAGTGTCTGAAGAAAAGAATCTTTCAAATGTGTATAATTCTGGACACACATTTGTGACAAGAAAGTGTAATTGTACAAGTAGCCTGTCTTATTCTTTATTTTCTTGTAGTTGTGTCAAAAAGTCGTTATGTCCTATTGTCAATAATGATTTTCAAATGCCTAAAATCTTTATTTATTGCCTTTTTGTGTTCAAGGCAGTGAAAAAAATACGCAGCAAATTTTATTCTACAGAATATTCTTAAGTCTCCCACCTACCTATCTTAAGGAAGTAATATGACTTAATGTTTGTGGTCTCCAATTTTACTCACCCTGAGAAAATTTTCAGATTGAGTAAAAACTTAAAGATGGGTTCCCATATGTTCATATGAAAATGAACATGCTAATACTTATATGCATAGAAAGTAGAGGTGTTCTAATGACTTACAAATATACCAGTTTGTCTCACATGTCCATAATTAATTCATTATGAGCTAAATAAGAATAGAATTACCAGCAGAATTTCAATGATCAAGAAAGGTCAAAAAGTCTTTTATTGTTTATTTAGACTGTACATACATGAACATTTATGATTGGTGAAAACTCTAAATTATATGCAATAAGAACATAATGATATCATTAAGAATACATTATAATTCATTAGAAACATCAAATAATCAAATAGTTTGCTTAATTTGACACTAGAAAATAAGAAAACTCATCTTGAAGTAAGTAAAAATAAAGGTTTTCAGCAAATTTTTGTGGCCTTGGAATTTACTCAATTATATAATCAATCAATAATAATTTGAGTAAATTTTATCAATTGAGAAAAAAAATAGTACTTAAGAAATTTTGTGTCCCTGGGGCCAGATAATCCACATCAAGGACTCATTCCATTTCCTTAAAATGGATGATTCAAGGAATAGAATAGTGTTATAACAGAGTTATATCTCACCTATGTCATCACCATGTCCCATTTGAGCTAATACATGTAACAAATCTGGTGATATTACATTAGGTATCTTCTTCAGAGGCATATTTCCAGTCTATAACTGTAAAAAGGCAAAAAAAAATAATGGAAGAATAAAGTAGAAATGATGTCAATTGTAACGTTTATCAATTTCTTATATTTAGGTACAACTTGAGTATAATTAAGCCTTAGAGTATAAAATTACATCCATAGCAATCGATAGAAAAAATATTTGATTTGCAATTATATTGTAACAGCTGTTTAAAGGGATACTATCTCTTAGAATGGACATAAATTTAAAGTCTCAATGGTCAACAAGTGTATATTCATCAGACATACCAGGTGACATGACTAAAGATTAGAATCTCTATATAAGACAATATACCCATTAAACTAAATAATTATCGAAACACACTTCTAAGCATGTTTTAAAAATTATTTAGTTTAATGAATATTACCTAGTTATATACATTATTGGATTATAGAGAAATTCTTTTATAGTTATGACACTTGGTAAGTCCACTGATGAACAAGGACTCATTTTGACTAAGTTTAAAATATCAAATTTTTGGTAATCCTAAGATGTAGTATACAATATCTTTAAATGAAGCCTATCACATCTGCACAATTAATCTTGCTTTATCAATATTGATAACAGTATAAGATTGTAAATTTTATTTTTAACTGAATGGTGCTTTATTTATTGAAGGTTACTGACAAAAAGATAAAACAATTTCTGGGTCAGGGTTGCATAGATGATAGATTGCTTTCCTATTAGTTTGTTGTTGTTGTAAAGTTACCTCCCTTGTACTGGTTGACACATTTTAGATACCATACCGGTATATTGGATTCTGTAACTTATATTAGATAAATCTATCTCTATTTTTTTGTATCTCTGACTCTTCTCTGCCAGCAATAAATGCAATATTTAAAAAAAACATAATATGTTGGTTTATAGGTTTAGTCCTTGAATGTATAAGCTGACACCATTGAATATAGATGCAATGATGTGTTTTTATCATTGTTAAAAAAAAAAAAAAACAAAACAGAAGAAAAATAACGAGCTGTTCCACACCATTAATGCCATCTTCTTAATCAAGTATTTGTTCCATCCTAGGCCTGTAGTCTACATTTGGAAGAATCAAACCATCTCTACCCCAAAATCAAAATTTATGTAGCCTTATTCATTACTCTAAATTGAGAAACATTATAGGCCTACAGTGTATGTAGACCTACTGAGGTCCACTAGTTCATCAGATTTTTCATTGAGATGATTAGCTCTATGAAATTATTTGATTTACTCTAGGCCTATGTGGTGGTTTTGGCTCTAATCAAATGAATGGAATTGGCAACCAAATAACATGTATAAGATATAATATATGCATACACAGATAGGCTACTGACTACAAGTGATATGCTAATAGTAAAATTATTATTAAAGATGGTTTCCCTTATTTCCATTTATATATATATTGGACGGCCGATACCTATATCAATCAAAAGTAGAGGTATTCTAATGAATGGGAAAAATACCAGTTTGTCTCAAAAGTCCCTAATTAGCCTGTACATGTAATTGTATTACACAAATTTTCCGCCAAAACCTGATACAGGGAAGAACTGAAACAGTCCTTTCTACACGAAAACTAAAGGCTTAATGACAAAAAGATAGAAAAGTAAGAATGTTCAGAGTGATGAGATCTCATTGGTGAGTTGAACAGAAACTCATCAATGGATAAAGAAGATAGAACAGAGTGAACAGATTTGAGTTGATTGTTAGTATTTGTGACTATGTGTTCAGTGAGTAATTTTGTAAACCATTAAAGCTGTGCTGAAACATAAAAACCTGTACACTATATTACATCTCATAGAGTCTACTATAGGGCTACTGGCTACAATTTGCATGCACGGCACAAAACAATATCAAACAGTGTTGAATTGAGGCACCTGATTCAGAAGATAGACTACTTACATTTTTTACTGTAAAATGAACCTAAATCAAATATAATTGCAGAAATGTAAATTTTAGCATAAATTGATCAAGTTTTAATGAACTTCAGTGTCTTCAGCACGTGACAGTCACATGATAGGTTGGTCTATTTACTGCAATGTACCGGTAAAATTAATCTTGAAGCTTGGGCAAAAAATTTTATGTTTTGTATTTTAGGAGTTATTTCCCATGAATTCCACTTTCCTCATTAGCGAGTTCACTCAATAATTGTGTTCAACAGGCCTGGTTAGGAATGCCACACTTCCAAAAATGAAAAATTAACGGCTGGATTTTTTTTTCAGTTAAAACTTTCAGAGCACTAGGCTACCTAAAGGACACATTTCTCTATATTTTGGTGTATAGTTTTCACACAAATTTGTGCAACAAAATTTTTTCGGCGTACAAAAAAGCGGAATGTCCCTTTAATGTATCTGAAAGTTTTACTTTAAGAATCTAGCCGTTAATTTTTAAACTCCAAAAATATTTAAAAGCATCACGTAGGCCTAATGTTCAGCTAACGTTCAGCAAACGTTTATTTGTCCATGTCACAATGACGTTCATTGAACTATAGCTAGGCCTACATTCACTCAATGTTAGCTGGATATTGATTGACTCTTCGTTGAACGTTACATGAACGTTTCAGTCAAATAATTTTGACAACATTTTCTAGATGGCTCAGAGGCGTGGGACTAATGATCAGACCC